AGAGGTTAATTTAGAATTAATTAAGAATCTTGCACAGGATCACAGAGATTTTGTGAGAGTTGAGCCATCCCTCAAGTCACAATTCTTGTTTTTAAAAGAATAAGGGGAAAAAGGAAAACTTTTTTATGGTTTCTACTTTTTCTAGGGTTATTTGAAGAACTCACAGAACACCATTAAATTGCTTAGAGCTTCCTGGGGGCAACCACCTTCAGACATACCTGCACCATGATGTTGTCCCCAGAAGCTGCTTCTTGAGCTTCATTGATCCACCGTTTGACTACGTCGTAACTGATCTTCATCATATGCTGGAAGAAGCCACACATTGAGTCAGCAGACAAAGTTAACAGCAGAAGCACATTTTTAAGGGCATGGATTTGGCTCCTCAAGAGTCACTGATGTTATTTCTTCCACAGAAGAGGTTGTTTCTGCTTACTCTCCTACTGAGAAGCAGACTGAAGCAAAGGAAACTCTATTGCTATTTTCTGTTTTCCCACCAGGAGATGAAGAAGAGTCATCTCAAAGGAAAAGAAGATGAAGAGAGAACAAACCAGAGCTACAAACACAGCAGATGATCCTCCCCAGCCACAACACAAGGCAGAGCTTTACAAGGATCTGCTGCTTTACTTACTAAGGAAGACACCAGTGCAGAACTGGAGACACTGGGGACTTTGTCCACGATGGCTTGCTTCATGTATCGCTCGATGGCCTGCAGCATTGTACCCTGCCAAAGGCACAGAGAAAAGAGTGGCTCCCTTGGAGGCAGAGCCTAAAAACAGCTTGGCAGGGAGCAGCTGCTCTGCTTTGAACCCCTCCTCACCCACCACCCCTCCCACAGCAGGGACCTGAGCTGTACTCACATCAGTGATCCTGCAGAGCGCGCGGATGGCGGGGCCCCGGTACACGTCCTCCTTCCCTGTCATGTCCTTGGTCAGGCTGCAAGCACAGAGCCACTCTGCTGGGAGAGAGCTCCAGCACCCTGGAGTCCAACCCTGCCCCCAGCACTGCCAGCTCCCCACTGCCCCGTGTCCCTCACCCCACATCTCCACGGCTTGGAAGCCCCTCCAGGGGTGGGGACTCCACCACTGCCCTGGGCAGCCTGGCACAGGCCTCCACAGCCCTCCAGGGCAAGAAATTGTTCCTCAGGGACAACTGAAACCTCCCCTGGGGCAACTTGAGGCCCTTTCCTCTTGGCCTGTCCCTTGTCCCTTGGGAGCAGAGCCCGACCCCCCCCTGGCTCCAGGCTCCTGTCAGGAGCTGTGCAGAGCCAGAAGGTCTCCCCTAAGCCTCCTTTGCTCCAGGCTCAGCTCCCCCAGCTCCCTCAGCTGCTCCTCCCCACACTTGGGCTCTAGACCCTGCCCCAGCAGCTCCGTTGCCCTGCGCTGCCCACGCTCCAGCCCCTCAAGGGCCTTCTGGGAGGGAGGGGCCCAAAACTGCCCCCAGGATTGGAGGGGCAGCCTCCCCAGTGCCCAGCCCAGGGGGACGATCCCTGCCCTGCTCCTGCTGGCCACACCAGTGCTGGCCCAAGCCAGGATGCTGGTGGCCTCCTTGGCTACCTGGGCACAGGCTGCCTCATGATCAAAGACACCTTGCTAACATTTCTTCCATATCCTGCTGTCTTGGCCCATTTGTGATGTTCATCCCACCTCATTTAGCTTTTTTTCCAGCTGTTACCAAATAACTGCTAAGCTCAAGTACTGGCTAGCAGCAAGTTAACAGCTTCCTGAAAGTTTCCACAGATCTGATGCTGTTAATACAGACCATTACAGAAAGCACAGTCCATAATATTGCTCTGCCATAGGCCTGGTTTATCTAGCTCAGCCATTCTCCTCCTTCATGTTGTTCTTCTTTCTACCACAGGAAATTTTGAGTTAGACAATGGCAAAGTTTAGTGTGCTGAACAGCTTTAAAATAATATAAATTAAACCAGTCCTTTAGCAGACACCACAAACCAAATTTTTTGCTCTTTCAACAGCAGTAATGGCTATTCTGTAATCTAAAACATTGACAGGTCAGTCAAAAGATGGAACTGAGCTTTGCTCTGCTCTTCCCTGTTCACCATGAGCCACAAATGTGCCCTCATGGCCCAGAAGGCAAATGATGTTCTGGGATGCATGAAGAAGAGTGTGGCCTTCAGGTCAAAGGAGGTTCTCCTCCTCCTCTACTCTGCCCTAGTGAGTCCACCTTGGGAGTATTAGGTCCAGTTTGGGCTCCACAGTTCAAAAGACACAAGGAATTACTGGAGAGAGTCCAGTGGAGGCTGTGAAG